GACTGCCGCAAATTTTTGAAGCACTATAAATGTTCCAGATACACGCTGTTGTCACGGACGGCAACCTGCAAAATGGTTTAAAACACTTCTTTCACGCAAGCCAGTGCAAAAATCATGGTAAGTAAGAAATGTTCTTGATCAGGAGCCCATCTGTCTTGATGTTATCTTTGCGAAGATTTTCATTCTAGAGTGCTTTTGATTCTTGATGTAAGTGAAAGACAAACGCCATGTATCTAACTTCAATCCTCCTCTGTTGTGTGTTTCGTTCCACTGGAGACTTATCACTTTGCCTTGTTTCTTTTATCTGTGAAATAATTGTAAAAGAACATAGCAATTTGAGATAAAAAATTCAGTGGTAGTGTTTCAAATAATTTTTCGGCCCTACTCCCTTTTTACTATGGCTCCTCTCCTGCAGAAAATTCCCCTTTCTCTTTACCTTTATCAAAACTTAAAGACCCGGTTAAAAATGTGTAGCGCACCTAATGCTTTTGAATGGGAACATTACATTTCGTGTACATGCATCGTCATTTGTGAAATTTGACGTTTGAATCGAGCCTTATTATCACTTAATTAAGTCCAGGAAAATTCAATGAAAATTTCCCTCCATGCCCAAAGCTTAAAATTAAACTAAAGAAACACTTTATATTATACCAAGCCTGCATAACAAGCGTTTCCAATAGAGTTATTGCGCGAGTTAGCCCCTCCCGGCCACTCCTTCCTCTTTTTTTTTTGCCCTCTTCAAACTTAGTCTCTTGCAGAAAACTCGCGCGGAAAAGCTTGCTACGCAGGCAATTTTAAAAAGTTATTGTCCAGTCACAATAAAGAAGGGACAGCTCGGTATGTTTGAATGATTATTATTAAATGTTGAAACATACCTAGCTGCCACTGTGGTGGCACAAAAACTAATGGAATATTTTAAAAATTATGCAGCCTGAGCCCCATTACGTATAGAACCCAGAAAAATCAATAGAAAGAGATACTCACGTCTGTAAAACATCCGAAGTCTTCAAATAACCACTCTTCTTTGTTTGATAAACTGCACTGAATCCTGTTCAAATAAGCTTATGTACTTTCTTCAGTAATATGCCCATCAAAGTCTGGTACAGATATTTTATTGAAGTACACTGTCCGTGAAAAAAAATATATGTACTTATTCATTACCCTGAAGTACTTTTCGTAGTTAAGTATAACTGTTAGAAAAACCAGAGTTGGTTTATAATCTTTATGTTAGTAGGTTCTCGCATGGAGTTTTGACTTGAATTGCATTGTGAAATATAAGCCAGCTATTACTTTTGCAGAAATGCACTAACCCTATTAAGAAAAAAGGGCTTGATCTAATGTAAACTTTACTGTAATATAGAAAAATCTTTATAGTTTTCTGAACCAGATTTACAATCACAAAAGCTCCCAAGCACGACATACACGCCTGTTCGGAGTTGGTTTTCGTAAGCTTAACACAGTAAAACAACTATGAAGTTTGAAGAACAACTATTGCATGAACACATAGAAAAGAATGACACGTACCTTTTGAACAAGTTTGTGGTCTAGACTCTATCAAAGATAAGGGTGAAAATATTTGTTAACAAAAGCTGGACTGCTTCGTACGAAAAAGCAGCTTTTGTTTTCTTCAGATCTGCGTAGTTTGTTTTATTTGCGCGGGCGGAGAGAGTTTGCAGCCGCGACAATTTCGCGCCAAAAACAGGGTGTCTTACTTGGGTTCAGTCTTCCATCGTCCAATTGTTGAGTCATTGTTTTGCGTCGCTGTTATTACATGGTATATTGATCATCAAGGAGAAAATGTTCCACTCAAGATAAGACAAAAAAAAAATCACTTCCAAAAAGTACATATTCTAGAACATTTTCAAAAATAATTATAAAACAGCAATTACAATGATTTCTCGCCCGTGTTCGGTATTGTATAAATATCTTTAAAACAGTATTCAAATACAGCTTTTTAATTTCCTTTCTCAATATCAGTTTCGACATAAGTGTTTGTAGACGTAATTCATTGCATATTTGCCCTCACCTTTCAGCACCATTCAAGAGTGTTGTAAAAGTGTAGCGGTCGTATTTGACTTCATTTTTGACTAGTATCAAAGGTATGGTCACAGCCACTACACTTTTGACTTCATCTTTGACGTGCGTCAAAGGT